ATGGATCACCTGTTGATATTTATCAACATGCGATTGAAAGAAGCAAGGCAATATCAGTACAATCGTATTAAAAATAAAATCTCAAACTGAATAATAATTTCGGGACAAATGGAGTATATATTTTTTGAGTTATGCTTAACTCAATCATAAAACACGCCATATGCTTCACATTAACTATGCCTCATTAATTTGGAAGTTAATCTCCTAGACAATTTGTTTTATGTAAACTATTTCCAACATTCGAAAACACTCAAGGCTTAACACCGAGGAAAGACTTTGTTAATTTGATCTGCATGCGCGTGCTCTGAGATGCATAAACGTTTAATTATGTTTTTTTATTAGACGAACTATATTATGTAGAAAATCGTATTTGTTTTCAATTTGAATTAACTATGTACAAACCTAGAAAACACTGTAGACATCTTAGTTCACATTTAAAATTTAAATATTTTCATAAATAGGAATTTAAATAAAGAATGTTCGGATTTTCTAAAAAATAATAATCAATAAATTCATAACTGTAGACGAGTTTTTAGAGAAGGGTGGCCGGGAGGAGGGCACCAATTGTGGAGTCAAAATCTTATACTAGTTTTAGCAATATATTTTACTCACTTTGTCTCAAAAAAATAATTCACAGCGATTTTTTAATTTGTATTAGAACTAATACAAATATCAAAACTCAATGTGGACTTTTTTTGTACATAGAAGGTATTAAATTTTTTGATCAATTAAAAAACAACGGAAACCCAAATAATTGTTGAAGCAAAGACTAAGCTATTGTAATGTGCATTCCAAAAAAAAAAACCTAATAATATACATCCTCATTCCCAAAAAGATAGCAATTCACATAGAGTTATCAAATTTATATTAAAAACAGTGTAAATCTCAAACTGGAAGTGGAATATTTTTTGGGACAGATGTAATAATAAAATGGCCCCTAATAAAATACCTATGATATACTCTCTCCGTCTCATAATTATTGTCCAGTTTAGATTTTCATTTTTAGTTTAAATGGTACTAAAAGTGAAATTTCAAACTGGACAATAATTATGAGACAGAGAGAGTAGTATTATTCTGACCTAAATATTGGTGATGGCAAATTACTTTAGGCTGACAGTGAAAGGCATTGTAACCTTTGACAGTTGACAGTGTGTGGTAAAAGGGGTGAAAACCGTGTAAGGTGCGCGTGTGAGGCGTGCTCGTGAGAATAATAATAAGTTCTGTTTATGTGTGTCCGACGTGACGGATTAGGTTCCGAGATTTTTTGTACGAACAAAATGGTGGTCTGGGTTCACTTTTATCCGTGTGCGCATATACTGGCTCACTTCTCTGGCTCACTCACGATAGAGCATATTCAAAAATCAATATTCTTTATTCATTTCCGCGTGCTGCCAGTGCCGGGGGGAAAAAAAAAAAAAGAAAAGAAAAGGCTTTAAAATGATGGATGATCCGACGGGGCCCACATACCACCCACAGCTTTTTGCGCTCTGTGAACTGAACTCATCCCTAATAATGTAGTCCTTTCTGTCTTTATTATAAGACATTTTGATTTCGTCATATGTTTCATTTAAGATATTTTTTAATTAGAAAAAAAATTTTAAAAATATATTTTTCATTCGTTATGTTCTTCTAATTATTATAAAATATTTTTAAAATTTTTATTCTAATTAAAAAGACATTTTATGTGAAACTTAGGATGAAATTAAAATGTTTCAAAATGTCTTATAATAAGGACCGGAAGGAGTAATAATACGTGCTTCCCAGCTCTCCTCTCTCGCTTTTCCCACTGTTTTTCTCGGTTCCATTCCAACTCATTGGATCTGTCTCTTAAGTCTTAACTATATCCACTCTCAACTATGTAATCTGTGGGTTTTGGTTCTTAATTTTTTTTTCCACCCATCATCTAATCATCATAAATCGAGTAGATAATTATGAAGGAAGTGAAGTTACAACTTACAAAACAGCATAATAAAATTAATTTTTTCAATTAAAAAAAATCTCATATAACAAACTGCTATTGATCAGTGGTTATTTAGTAGTATTTCTTTCTCATGTGTTACTAAAAAATTTTAAATCCCTCTTGTCATTAGTCACGAATTCACTGTTTTTAACAAGTGAACCTAATGTAGTTCCGACTTGCATTGTGAGCATTATCCTTGCTAGGTTCAGCATTATTAAAAATCATTTGTGTTATTTTTTTTTTGCCTAAATACTAGGAAGCTAAATGAGTAACCAGCACTCAAAGAAAACCAATTAATAAGCTTAATTTATCTATATTAAAAGCAAAATGCAGTGCTCAAACAAAGTTTTGAACCATCAACCTGGTGCTACTACGTACTACTAATTACAGTCATACAGTATTTTTTATTCCAAAAAAATAATTCTACAAAGCATATATATTATTATGGGAGTAGAAGAGTACATGACAAATTATATTATTAATTTGTAAAATTAATTACTTTTCAGTTTTTTTAATTAACATTAGGGAAAAAATGCGCACGAAAAATTCATTTCAGAAACTGAATAAATGAATGAAATTTGCATAGCAACTAGGGGAAAAAAAAAAAACTAGCAAGTAGCAAGTGGAGCTGAAATCTTCTTCATAAAAGTCTGAAAACAATCTTATCCGAATAGAATGTTGAGTCTGATAGTAATCCTATCCAAATAGAGATATGAACACTTATGAGCAGCTGTGTTTATTCAGGCTTCAAACAGAATTTTCAGCGGACAGTATGTTAACATCGAAGTCAGTAAATCACTAGAAGAAAGCTTTGTGCACCTAGGAAATACTTTGATTTAGGAGGTAAAAATACTTTAACCAATTTAATCATATGTGATCGGAATCCAAATTCGATCCAATATCAAACCATACCATAGTGATCAAACCACTTGTTACAAGAATTTTACGTTCTAACGAACTTTACTCGATTCGTAAAAGCAAAATGTATTCGTGTAAGGTTGCGGCTACAATGTTTAGAGAGACAATGAGATGAAATTACTAATGTTATCAATATTAATTTAACGTAAATTACAATATACATAATGATGTTTACATTGTTATCAGAAATTTAGATTCAACCGTTTATCATTTATAGTAGTAAGACCAAAACAAATTGCAAATTAATTTGCTCAGATGCAAGAAGGAAGCTTCCCAGCTTAAACTGTTATGGTTTTGCCCGTTACAATAAAAGCCAACTGTTTTCTGAAGGGCATGTCATAGAAACACAGACATAAACTAGAACGAGAGTTCAGCAAGGAGTTAACTTAATCGGACAAGAAAAATATGGCCTTTCCTATTTTACAATCAGACAAATTTGAGGGGGCTTCATGGAATTGAGAAAAATCTAATCCAATAATATCGTAAATAATTTTTATTTTTTATTTATGAAAAGTTTTTGGAGGAAGTTACCATGAAACTCTCTCTTATCAAACCCATTCATCACAAAAAAAAAAAAAAAAAAAAAAAAACCGACTGGACAGAATCATAAAGATTTTGACGCTTGTGATGGAGAAAATATCTACGAAATCCCGTGGAAGAATTATGGTGCCTCATGGAGTCATCCGTCTCATCAAGCAAAGCTAGCCCTGGACCAACAATGCGTAGCTAATCTCCATGTTTTGGTTACATTATTACGTTAATATATGGAAATACTCCACTACTTTTTAAGCGATTAACGTATGTGTTAGGTTAATTATTTAAACACATGTTCATCACAGATTTCTACCTAATGTAACACCAAAATACTCCTACAATTGAAAATCTAAAAGAGTATTCACAACCAAATTGTGTTATCGTTTCTGAAATAGGTTCCTGTGCTTATCTTCATTTTTATATAAATAAAAATTGTGGTACAAAACATAAAAGTGTATTGGTGAGTGAAAGAGTCAAAGCCAGGTGTCCCAATTGGTGACCCCCTAGAAAGAAGGAACTTATAAACATTCCCCCCCATACCACCGAATTTCTATAATTAGGTATTCCGTTTTAATAACATTTATAATTTTTGAATTAGAAAAATTGAATATTTAAATTTTTAATATCTTGTAGTAGCTAGTATAAAGTTACACCCTTTTTTTTTGGGGGGGCGGGGGGTTACAACTTACAAATGTAAAGTTATACCCTATCACAACAAGATTCAAGATATGGGATAAAATGACTATTATCTTCAATAACTTTCTTTCACTCTTGCAGTCCTTTATTTATTTATTTATTTATTTATTTTTGATAGAAATAAATTTCATTAATTTGTTGGGAAACCGCCCAATACGGAATGAGGTACAAAATCTAAGATGGAATCCCAATATTTTTCAAAGTTTCTAGTGTTTTTGGCGAATTGAGCTAAACCATAGACAAAGACATTAAATCTACGATTAATCCATTTACAGCTAAATTCACAGTGACCTTTGAAACGGTACTTGATGTCTTCGACAATGAGGCTTGAGTCAGATAAATCAACTTCATCAGAATTTAGACGGTGAATTGTCTTCGACGAGTCTCCAACCAGGATGAAATGTCGGAATTATGCCTTATCTCACAATTAAATCATCAACAATCTAAATAAGATACTTAAAAAAACATAAAATTATCCTCTTCCTCAAAATTTTGAGTCATACTATATTTTAAGTTTTACAAATAGTGCAACTCACACTCTGCGGCAGAACACATTGCTTATCATACTTTATGATAAGTAAACCTTATAAAAACTAAGAAATACAATAAGCAAATTGGGATCGTAAACCAAGGAATTATAATTACGGTATTGGGTGTTCAAATTCCATTAAAAGCAGTTTTATTTTTTTAATAAATGATATTCCATCTTTCCTAAATCATATTTTTTACTTCTAGTCTGATTTATATTAAATATAAATTATGACTATTATTTCGAGAAAAACTGACTAATTACTAGTCAAATATACTTCGGCAGTGGGACAAAAAAAATGATGGATACAAAATATGCAACATCGACATGAATAAGAAAGACAAAGGACTGAAATAAAATAATCGACACACTTTTTTATTTATATATAAAAAAAAAGAATAATATTTGTTGGAAATATTCCTCCTTTTAATGAAGACCGAATCCAAAAAAAGAAAAAAAGGAAATTCTAAATTACCATTAAATTCTCCGTCTATATTAACTACCTACTGAGCACAACTCTATCTCTCTCTTCTTTCTTCTCTCTCTACGAAGCTTCCTGGAAGCTCACCATGGCCTCTGTACCCGAAAACCCATTTAACCACCCTTTCTTCCTCCCTCTTTCCTCGCACATTCTTCTTCTTCTTCACTCCTTTTCTTCTTCTTCGTCTTCTTCGTCTCTCTCAATCTTGGCGTTCTTCTCATTTGTTTGTTCTTTCTTCCCACCATGAAGCTCATCGCCAATTACCCGAAAAAGCTTTACAATAAGTACAAACGATCCAAGTCACGGTCCGTTTCCAGATCCGATGACCCACTAAACTCCTTTAGTTCTACAGGGACCTCGTCGTCTGATTCGTCCACTTCCTCCTCATCTTCCGCTGTTAAAAAGCGGCTCAAGGGCGCCCATGCTCCCGGCACTCCCACCAGCGTTCTCCCTCCGGCGATGTCCAGCGAAATCTCCGCCGACGAGTGGTCCGATATCTCCGCCGACGTTTATTTCGAGATTGAGCAGGCGTTCAAGATGATTGACCGCGACGGGGACGGGAAAATCACTAGGGATGAGCTGGAGGAGTTGCTGATTAAGGTCGGAGCGGAGCCGCCGAGCAAGGAGGAGCTGAGTTTGTTGTTGAGCGAGGTGGACAGGAATGGGGATGGGTGCATCAGTTTGGAGGAATTCGGCGCCATCAGCTCGGCTTTTGGGCCTCCGGCTTGCGATTCGGAACTCAGAGACGCGTTTGATTTCTTCGACACGGATCACGATGGCCGGATAACGGCGGAGGAGTTGTATAACGTCTTCGGAGTCATCGGAGACGGGCGGTGCACGTTAGAGGATTGCCGGCGGATGATTAACGGTGTAGATAAAAATGGGGATGGATTCGTCTGCTTCGAGGACTTCTCTCGCATGATGGAGCTGCAGAGATGATTGATTCAACAAAAAAATCATGATCGTTGCTTGGTCCAGATTTCCGGGTTTTTGGGAATGAAATTATCCAAAATCTCAGTCAAATTTTTATCCCCTTTTTTTTCGCTTCTTTATTATCTAATTTTCTTCGTCTTCATCGATGTATTAATTCGGAGAAATAGGTGGGTGGTGCGTGTGTGCGTGTTTTTTTTCTTCTTTTTTTTTTTGTAATTTTAGTTGGAGGAGAATATATAGATCCGAAGGTGAAGAGGAAGGCAGGAGGTAGATTGATCGAATTTCAACGGCTAAGATTGATCTATCTTCTTTGGCTTTAACCTTGAAGTTGCCGTATATAAATTGAAGTACACTTCTTCCCAGTTTTTATCAGTCTAATTTTACAGCGCAAAATCAATACCGAACATTAATTTGAACGGTTGAGATTACATCAGCTGCTTGATCTATTGAGATTCGAAAAAATATCTATGCACCCAAAGTGGTTTGCCTGCCAACGGTCTTTTCAATGATGATCAATATAATCACCTTTCGTATACAAATTGCATTAGCTAGACGAAACTTTTCTAATTCAATTTTGTGCAAATATTTAAGACAAAACATAGGAAAAGATAGTAGAATTCAATTTTTAGCTAGAAGTCTAATCAAGATTATTGTTTCTTCAAATCATATCACTTATCTGTTGTTGAGTTATAATGTTATAGGTGTGACAACACATCTTCAAAACGATGTAATATCTTAAATAAGTATTTGAAGTAATTGAATTGAGTGATAATAAATGGATGAAATCATCAAAATTTATAATTTTATCTTATCATTTACTCTTGCATCTCGCCCTCCTTGCAAATTCATTTCTTCTTTTATTAATTTCAATTTAATCAGTGAGTAAAATGTTTTTGTTCCTAAAAAACCTATCTAACGTGTGAGGGCAGGAGTGTCATGTGAAAAGAAGAGAAGCCTGTTGATACTTACATGCTTTCCACCTTAGAGATTGGCAGATTTGTTTACTTTTCGGGCAACGTTTATATTTTCTTGGGTAAGAATAGGATACTTTCTCTTCTTCGCCTTTTTCCTAATTGTCCCGACATAAGATAAGAACTAGCTCGCTGTTTTGATTTAATGGTTACATTTGAAGGTCAAATGGTGTATAAATTATCACCCGGATTAAGGTTTGTCAACAAAGAGGCTTACTTTATGATCACGAGCTTCCATTTCTAGTGTGTTTTATGGAAAGTTTCATCAGTACTTAATGTATTACGACCATCCCACGGCATAATTTAAAGCTTTTGGGACGAAATTGAAATGGTTTTCTACTCTATTTCTGTCACAAAAAAATAGTTCACAATGAGTTTTCATGAATCTCAAGATTAAAAGAATTAATTTGTTGGGATAGAAAATATAACTGATGGTGAAACAGATGAAAAAACTGTTGATGCCATTGGAAAATGTAAAATAAGTAGTCTATACCTTCACTACATTTTTCATCAATTAAGGAAGAAAATTTTATCAGCCAGCTGAACCAGAAAGGGATTAGCGTATGATCAATGCTAAACTATTTCATTTGGAAAATATAGTTGTTTGTGCAATTTTCGTATTTGCATTCAAAATGCGACAATCATTTCGTGGACAGACGAGTACATATTTCTCATGTAGTAGGGTTGCATCCATTTGTTTTTCGAACGATAACCGGGAAAAGACAGAGAGAAAAAAGAAATAATTTTGATTGGATGATAATGTGTCCATACCATATGAATTGGTCAAATCAGAATGTCTGGTTTTATGGCTATAATTCTTTCTTCCAGGATTAGTGGAGACGTGAATTATTTGTGCTTCAGTGCTTCCATGCATTGTGGATGTAGCTAGTAAGCATTATTAAGGATTCTTCAAGTGAAAAAAATCGAGACAAGTGTTACAAAAAGCTTACATTATTAATACTTACATAGAAATATTTACTCAATTTGTGTTTTAATTTATTTAAAAAAAAAATCACGTAAAACATTTTTCAATTTCCATTTCCATAATATGCATTTCTCATAATTTCACACATTTTCAGTAATTATAAAAAAAAAGTGGACGCATAATTTATTTTTAACTAGTGTTAGCGAGGAAGTGGTGACAAAACTATTACCAGCAGTTTGATTTGTCATGAAATTCTATCAACGGGAAACATATTTGATGTATGAATATATGATGGTTCACGGTTAATCCAAACAGTTTATTCGAATTGAGCAAAGTATTTTTTTTTATTTTTTTTTTGTAAAAAAAATGAATGCCAAACGTAATCGGTAGAATAATCAACATCTGTTTTCTTAGGGTAATGAAAATCAACGTCTTGATTTGCATCATTAATTTTGACGTGTCATATAATTAAATGATCATTTCCATTTGCGCTTGCCCCTTTCAAATTTGGATCGATCATCTCCCACAAATTTCTTTTGGATATTTTCCCATTTGTTTCAATATTCATTCATAGCGAGAATCTCGCAAGATGTGATTCTATATTTTACTACTTAGTTTACTGATCTTATCCTTGTTTCTATTGAAACGTTTGATGAGATAAGATTAAAAAAAATAAATAAATAAAAATCAAGGTACATGATCCCATTTAGAATAGTTATCATGTATTTACCCTTTTTTTTGTGAATTTCCATGAAGAAAGTGATAAATCTAGCGAAAAATTATTATTGTCCATTTTGAGATTTCACTTTTAGTAAAATTTGAATAAAAAATGAAAACTCAAACTAAACAATAATTATGGGACGGAGATAGTATTATGTATGCTCTGACTAGTAAAGGAATATAGCTAGTAAATTTTGAGGAAATTGATTATCTTTTTAAATACTGTAATCTTTCACGACTCACAAACACGAGATTAACACATTTTGATGATAGGTGACACGGTAACCACTACCTTAATACAAGGCGGCATGGGATACATACAATGCATTGTTCAAATAAGGACACTTCTAGCCCATATGTTTTGAAAAAACACGATCAGATACGTGGTCACGTTAGAGAAGAAGTGCTATTTTATCCATATCTGCCAAATTGCCAAATTTGCATTTTTATTTGGACAATTCAGCTAATCTTATAAAGGTAATAAAGACGTAAAACGTGGTTTTGCATATTGATGTTGCTTGCTAATTCTCCAAATTATGTACAAAACCCATTGGTTGTTTTCAAGCATTTACAACTTACAAGGAACTTTCTCATATAAATTACTTACTTCTACATTGGTTGTTTTCTCAATGTAAACTTCGAAGAAACTTCAATAGTTTGAATCAACTGAAAACACAAAAGGGATCAAGTCACAAAGGACTACGGCGCCTTAAAGAAGGCCAAAACGAATAGATTTATACAAAAAGATAGCCGAAAATATGCATAGCCTTTGATCATGTCAAATTTGTAACGCAATTTTTTTTTTCTTTTTAATATATATTTTTTTGGGGGAAGGGAACAAGTTAATACATGCTGACCACTTCATACGTATACTGGTTCTTTTTTTTTTTTTTGCCGCTCGAGATTTGATTTTCAATTCCCTTAGAACAATATATACTACGAAGTCAATGACAAATACTAGAAAATCTCGACGAAATAATCAATACTCCCTACTTTCTTTTTCATCAAGTAGCGAAAACCCCACAACTAATAAACAATACTCTCGAGTTTGTTTTAGGTTAACTTCATACAAATTAATGATCTTAACATTACTTTGTTGAGATTTCTTGGAAAATAAAAAGAGAATAATACGGGTTCATATTTCTAGCTCTTTTTAGTTACTCCATCCGGTTCTTATTATAAGTCATTATGATGTATTTTGATTTCGTCCTAGGTTTCACTTAGGATATCTTTTTAATTGGAATAAAAACCTTAAAAACATTTCATAATAATTAAAAGAACACAACGAATGTGAAAATATATTTTTAAGATTTTTTTGTATAATTACAAAGACATTCTAAGTTAAACCTAGGACGAAATCCAAATGCCTTATAATAAGGACCGGAGGGAGTAATATTTTTGTATTTCCATATTATTTTTCTTTTTTCTCTTTAATTTCGTTTTTTTTTTTTTGGGCAGAATGTATAGTTCATTTGATTTTCCTTTTATTTTGGATTGTATTGGTTTGATGGTTTCGGTCTGACAAATCATGACCGATTAAACTCTTCGAAGACAATCGAATCACCAAATGAAAATGAGTTTTAAACTTTTAAGTATGTATATGTATACACTACATGAACAACGCGTATACTACTCGGTTTCGACTTAATACTCATTTGCATATGATTAGAACGATAATTAATAAAGATTTCGATAACTGATTAAACTAAGTTAAGTGTGCCTAGCTATACCTATAGATTGAAGTGCTTTTCTCTAAATAATACTCCCTTCATTTCAAAATATAAGTCACTTTAGACTTGATACGTATATTAAGGAACAATCATCTAACAATTAATTTATGTGTTAAATATCTATTTTACCACTCATTACTTACATTGAAACTATAAACAAGACTAAATGAAAATATATTGACATCATTTATTGAGGGTAAAATTGAAAAAATAGTCATTAATTTGCCTAGAATTTATAAAACGATCTACATTTTGAAAAATCACTCCAAACTTAAAATGACCTACAATTGAAATGGAGGGAGTAGTTAAATCGAAGTTATTTAAATAATTCATTGAACCAATTTGATGGTTAATATTTCTTGCTCATTGTGCACTTGCTTAATTTCATGTATGGCGTAATATCCCACATGGTTGCATGTGCCTTAGTGCACAAGTATTTGCAGTTTATTCTGGTTTAGGGATCTAGGATTAATCAAAGTACAATACCAAGACAAATATCTTCTGAGAGCGTATAAACACTGACGGTTATGCAAATTTAATATATGAAACATATTATTCTTTGACGGATAGAGCTGAAATTGAACATTAAATTAACAGGATACATGACTTTAATTGCTGTCGTTTTAAGATTCTTGTAGATAACCTAATTATTGTGTACTCGTCTAGTTTCATTGATGTACGTACTGACCAGTTTAAGGGAACGAATGCAAGAATGTTTGGTGTTTTTTCTTTTGTTTATTCCAGAGAATGATATGCTAATCATAACATGAAATTACGGGTAATGTAAGTATGTAACTATTGAAGTTATCTTTTTTCTTCTTCTTTTTTTTTCCGTTAGTACTTTTGTTATTCTCTAAATCGTTTTACTTGATTAATTCAAATGCTCTATTTACCTTTTATAAATTAGTTTGTGTGGGACTAACCTTCCTAATAATAAGTTAATATAATTGTTATAAATGAGGAACAAGAAAAACGTACATTTAAATCCTCTAATAACATTAATCGTTAGTTTTCAACTTGCAGTTCTACCATGAGTGTAGTTTTTTTTTCTTTTTTTGAAAAAGGTACCTGTATATTACTTCATTAAAGATACCTAAATTATTACATCTCATCTTATTATAAGCTAAGTTGTACATTTCATAAACGTCTTGTCTACTAACTTTAATCAGTTCATCGGACTGAAATGAGAAATTAACAATAGTAATAAAGAGGAAATTTCTTGAGCTTCTACAGGAATTAATGGCGAGCGCAGATCACTTGTTAAGACTTCATAATTGGTGTGGACTTTAACTCGAGTGATATCCACCATGAGTGTAGTTAAAAATGAGAAAAGCCAACTGTGCTCCGTTTGGTTTTGAAAAAAAAAAAAATTCTGTTTCCTATAGAAATGTATTACTTGAAAGAAAGCCTACAGAATAAGACTTGCCACACTTAGCTAGTTAAATAGAGTTTAAGTATCACCCCAATGAGATAACAAAAGATGAATCAATCCAACTTGGAACACACCACATTACTCCAGTAACTTAGGCGGTTAATTAAGACCTCAGTAGGATTCGAATTTCATCAGTCGTTAAAAATATAAACAT